CCCCGCTGTTGGTCGGGAAATGGAGTCAGCACTACACGGAGAGGCGCAGCCATCCACAACGGCTTACTTCGAGGCTTACGTGGACGCTCTGCGGGAGGTGAACCTCGTCTGCCCGCATGACAAGGGTGTGCACGACTCGATCGCTTCGGCTGCGGCTCGGATGGCGCAGATTTCCGCATCGCAGAGCGCAGGGGGCCTGGTCTCGGTCCTGGAAGACATCGACGCCATGGACGTGGATCTGCTGAAGAATGACCCCGGCATCGCGAACGTGGAACAGACACTTACGAAAGCTACTCTTGAGTGTAGAGTTGCGAAGGCTGACATCAAACTATCTTCGGTTGCCAGCTCTGTGATCGATAAGCTCTTCGAGGCGAGGGACTTCCAGAAGACCAGCGCCCCCTTGAAAGCCGCCATCGAGAACTTGGTCAGGCTCGCGCCCGATGATCGACGAGCTCATCTCCAGGGCCGATTTGCGGTCAGCGCCGCCTTGAGCGACATCACGGCGGCGTGCGATGCGTTGGCTAAGGTGGCGAATGACTCGGCCCCCTCTGCCATCGCTGAGGACGAGGCGGCCTTCCAGGAGGTGATCAATGTGCAGTCGGCAATCGCCCGTGCGAGGACTGTCATGAAAGAGCACCCTCGGGCCGAAACCACGAGCACGCACCAGATCATCACAGAGCTCATCAACAAGTATGACAAGTTGATCGTGGTGGCCGCGTTCACCGAGCGGTTCAACGCCAAGAAGGGCGTCCTCGAGGAGGCGATGCGGGAGTTGCCTCTTATCGCAAGGGGCGCCAGCAATGGCCAGAGCTGGAAGTGCGGCTTCAAGGGTTCCGAGATCGCTCGCATCTTCGACCGCGCGCGCAGGACTATCTTGGACATGGCGCAGTTCGACCCGAACATGTTGCTGCAGAACATCCGCCTCGTTGAGAAGGCGACTTGTGCCCGAGAAGATCTGCAGATCCACTCGGGCACAGAGGAAGGGAGTATATCCGACATGGAAGTGGGCGACGGAGGAGGAGGAGGATGGGGGAGGACGATGCTATGTCGGAGTAAGGGGTGGCGACGCGGACGAGAGGAGGCAGGATGAAATGGGGATGGGCATGTGGGTGAGGAGTGGGAGAGTCGGGGGCAGGGGCGGGGAGGCGGCGGAGCGTGATCAAGATGAGGAGGAGGCGAGAGGCGGGAATGAGAGGGGGAGGACAGGGGAGATATACGGGGGGGGGGGGGGGGGGGAAAAGGGGGAAGGGCGAGGAGAGAGGAGTTGGGACAACATGTAAAGGAGGAGATGGCGGCGGTGGTGGGAGACGCAGGCACGGGGATGGTGCACGAACGATGCAGGCGAAACATGGGTTCGTCGCCGCGTCGGTGTACCTCGGCGACGCGATCGACACGACCGAGCTCTGCAACAACTGCGATGAACTCGTGAGAATTGCGCACGTGACGAAGTGCGAGGCCGCCCTCTGCTACTGCTTCACAGGCAAGGACAACCTGGAGACCTTGCGAGACAAGGTCAAGAAGGCGGAGGTGCTCCATCTCCGCAGCAAAGGCGTCACAGACCAGAAGGGCAATATCCACGACCTCTTGATTCAGCGCTCACAGACCAGAAGGGCAATATCCACGACCTCTTGATTCAGCGCTTGAAGCTGGCACTGGCCCTGAAGCCACCCCCTCCTAGAGGATCATGGCGCGCATTTGGTTTCAACGTTGCCATGCTTTTGTTGGCGAGTGGGCCAATAATGGCCCGATGAGGGGGAGCTCGGGGATAGTGAGCGGTGCGGGGCGAGGGTATGCGAGAGGGGTAGGTTCGCCTCGGGCCTCGTCGAATGCGTTGGGATCCAGTGCGCGCCTGCGGGGCCGAGCGAGAGACTGCGCTGCGCCCCCGCAAGACAACCGACGGCGCGACGCAGCAAGGCTGAGGAACGTGACAAACTGACCTCGGAGGGGTCATATGCATCAGTGGTGGACGGCCCCGTAAGAACAGGGCTCGCCCAAGCGACGCGGCCCCCCGAGACGCGGCCCGAGGGTTTTTGGGGGGGGGGGTGGAAAGGGGGGGTGAGCGGGGGTGAAAGGGGCAGGGGCGGGGGCGGGGAACAAGGGAATGCAAAAGGGTTCGCTCGAACGCGAGCCGCTCGAGGGCGGTCGCGCGGCCGTGGAGGCGAGCTTCGTCGCGCGGCCTTGGCTCAGAGTAGCTCATGGGTGCGCAGCGGGTGGGGCAGGGGGGCGAATGCGATGGCGGAGAGCCAGGGGTGGGGGGGTGGTAGGGGGAAGGGGGTAATGAGGGGCGGTGACGACGGCGAAGATGTGAGCAGGTGGGTAAGGGAGGGGAAGGATAGTATGATAACGGCGACGGCGACTAGAAAACTGGCGGCGAGGATAGCATTGGGGAGGGGGGGGGGGGGGCAAGGGCTAGACTTGGAGAGGGGGCGAGGGCGAGCACTAACGACGCTTGCACTTATGTAGCAACTTTACTGACTAGCCTAAACCAATTGTAACCAATAAGCATCGGTACGGCTTCCACCGCTGCCGCGGCTACGGCCACGACCCACGCATGCCGACGCCACTTGCGTGCTATCGCTACGGTTACCGTTCTTCAGTATCGCTGATACCTCCAACGCGACTCCACGCGCGCCCGCGTACCACGCTGGGCCGATTCGCTCTCGCGACATACAGCTCCCGCCTGCCGAGCTGCTTTTTTGATTCGTGTATGGGGCGCCTCGGGGCCCAAAAGTGTACAATGAATTTGAATTGTTTCTTTTGGGTTATTATTTTTTCGTGTGTGCAGTTGCGGTGTTTCTTGAACCCCTACTTGTGGACCGCATGCGAAAGTTACTTTAAAGTTAGTTTAAAGTTACATTTAATTATTTCTGCGTTTCCTGCTTTAGCTACACCACCGAGTACACAACGCTAGGTTCTCATTGCAGAACAGTGCCATGCGCGCTATGACAACACAGTGCCCTGCGCTAAGCGCTGCAAGTGCCCGAGTGCACTACTGACAAGAGGCAACCGACTAATCGATGCGGCATGGGCACATGACAGCAACATGCGCTTCGTGGCGCCCAATCCCGTTGCAATCTGCGATCAAACAACGCAGTAAGGTCCCATGGTGGTCCCCGTGGGACACCCCTCAGCTGGACCTCCCAGGAGCCCACGCAAGTGGCGACAGTTTCGCAAATCGCAGCCCCCCAGGGACGGCGAGGTCTCATGGTGGTCCCCGTGGGACACCCCTCCGCTGGACCTCCCAGGAGCCCACGACATTGTCGACAGTTTCGCAGATAGCAGCCCCCCAGGGACGGCGAGGTCTCGTGGTGATTCCCGTGGAACACCCCCGACAGTTTCGCAGATCACAGCCCTTCAGGGGACCGCGAGGTCTCGTGGCGATCCCCGTTGGACATCCCGCCGCTGGACCTCCCAGGAACCCACGCAAGTGGCGACAATTTCGCAAATCGCAGCCCCCCAAGGACGTCGAGGTCTCATGGTGGTCCCCGTGGGACACCCCTCCGCAGGACCTCCCGGGAACCCACGCAAGTGGCGACAATTTCGCAAATCGCAGCCCCCCAGGGACGGCGAGGTCTCGTGGTGATCCCCCAGGGTCACCCCTCCGCTGGACCCCCCAGGAGCCCACGACATTGGCGACAGTTTCGCAAATCGCAGCCCCCCAGGGACGGCGATGTCTCGTGGTGATCCCCTTGGGACACCCCCTGGTGGATTTCCCAGGAGCCCACGACATTGGCGACAGTTTCGCGAATCGCAGCCCCCCAGGGACGGCGAGGTCTCGTGGTGATCCCCCAGGGTCGCCCCTCCGCTGGACCCCCCAGGAGCCCACGACATCGGCGACAGTTTCGCAAATCGCAGCCCCCCGGGGACGGCGACGTCTCGTGGTGATCCCCCAGGGTAGCCCCTCCGCTGGACCCCCCAGGAGCCCACGACATTGGCGACAGTTTCGCAGATCGCAGCCCCCCAGGGACGGCGAGGTCTCGTGGTGATCCCCTTGGGACACCCCCTGCTGGACCCCCCAGCAGCCCACGCAAGTGGCGACAGTTTCGCAGATTGCAGCCCCCCAGGGAGGGCGAGGCCTCGTGGTGATCCCCGTGGGACACCTCGCCGCTGGGCCTCCCTGGAACCCACGAGGCAGGAGGCAGAAGGCAGGCGGGAGGAGAGAGGAAGAGGAGGGAGAAGGGGAGAGGCGGGAGGAAGAGGAGGAGGAGGAGGAGGAGGAGGAGGAGGAGGAGGAGGAGGAGGAGGAGGAGGAGGAGGAGAGGAGGAGGAGGAGGAGGAGGAGGAGGAGGAGGAGGAGGAGGAGAGGAGAGGAGGAGGAGGGAGGAGGAGGAGGAGGAGGAGGAGGAGGAGGAGGAGGAGGAGGAGGAGGAGGAGGAGGAGGAGGAGAGGAGGAGGAGGAGGAGGAGGTAGGAGGAGGAGGGGAGGAGGAGGAGGAGGAGGAAGGAGGAGGAGGAGGAGGAGGAGGAGGGGAAAGGAGGAGGAGGAGGAGGAGGAGGAGGAGTGAAGGAGGAGGAGGAGGAGGAGGAGGAGGAGGAGGAGGGAGGAGGAGGAGGAGGAGAGGAGGAGGAGGCGGGAGGAATAAGAGGAGGAGGGGGAGGAGGAGGAGGAGAAGGAGGAGTAGGAGGAGGAAGAGGAGGAAGAGGAGGAGGAGAAGGAGGAGGAGGAGGAGGGGGAGGAGGAGGAGGACAGGTGGAGACCACAGTGCTGTATTCAAAACGAGAACCGATCCCAGGGAGGGTTGGGAATAAACTTTGGCCGTCCGCGCGGATTTCTTGGATCTGCGGTGGGCCCCCCCAGCGGCGCCTCCGGCGCCGCCCTTGGCGCGCTCCGCGCTCCAAGGAGGGGGGCCCAGCGCAGACCCAAGAGATCCGCACGAAATGCCCCAAGCTTAAACGTTTATGGCGTTTTTTTGTTGTTGTTTTGTTTTTGTTGCCTTTTTGGAGCGTTTTTGTTCCTATTATTTTTTCCTGCGTTGTGATCGACCCTCTACCCAGACCCAGGAGCCGGCCCCCGTGCTCCGCGCTCTCTCCGCGGCGGTGCTGCTGCTGGGGCTGCTGGCGGCCCCCGCCGCGGCGGCGGAGCTGCCCTCCGTGGCCGCGGCGCTGGGGGTGTCCCTGGGGCAACGTCAAGGGAGGCGGCTCGGGCTCCAGGGGGCGGGGGGGGCGTCGAAGCTCGAGATTCGAGATTCGAGATTCGAGACTCGAGGCTCGAGGCTCGAGGCGTTCGCGGGTGTTGGCGGGTTTTCGCGGCGGCTTCCTGGCCTCGGGACGCTCTCCGGCGGCCGCACCTCGCCGAGGGCGTTCCAGGGGGCGCCCCGGCCGTCCCGAAGGGCCGCCGGCGCGCCGAGGCATGGCCCGAACGCCATGAGGCAGCGACACGGGGAAATGTGCTCAGGGAGAACGCACCAGTCCCCCCACCTCCGCCACAAAATTACGCTAACCGAGGAACCCCACATACTTAATTTAAATCGTATGTGTTTGCTTATGTATATATATATATATATATATATATATGCACAATCCTGCGTTCTGGGCCCTCGTCGCGAATGTTCCCTGCTAGGCTTTGCGCCAGTGTCGTGGATAGCGGCCGAGCTGAGAGACCACCCCTGCGCACCCCCTGTGGTGTCGAGAAAGTGCCACGCCTGCTAGCCTTTGCGCCAGTGTCGTGGATAGCGGCCGAGCTGAGAGACCACCCCCTGCGCACCCCCTGTGTGTCGAGAAAGTGCCACGGCTGCAAAGCTTTGCGCCAGTGTCGTGGATAGCGGCCGAGCTGAGAGACCACCCCCTGCCCACCCCCTTGGTGTCGAGAAAGTGCCACGCCTGCTAGGCTTGCGCAGATAGTGCCACGCTGGTGTCGAGAAAGTGCCACGCCTGCTTTGAGCAGTGTCCACCCCCTGTGTCGTGGAGTGTCGAGAGAGAGACCACCCCCTGCGCACCCCTGTGGTGTCGAGAAAGTACCACGCCTGCTAGGCTTTGCGCCAGTGTCGTGGATAGCGGCCGAGCTGAGAGACCACCCCCTGCGCACCCCCTGTGGTGTAGCGAAAGTGCCACGCTGCTAGGCTTTGCGCCAGTGTCGTGGATAGCGGCCGAGCTGAGAGACCACCCCCTGCGCACCCCGTGTGGTGTCGAGAAAGTGCCACGCCTGCTAGGCTTTGCGCCAGTGTCGTGGGTAGCGGCCGAGCTGAGAGACCACCCCCTGCGCACCCCCTGTGGTGTCGAGAGAGTGCCGCGCCTGCTAGGCTTTGCGCCAGTGTCGTGGATAGCGGCCGAGCTGAGAGACCACCCCCTGCGCACCCCCTGTGGTGTCGAGAAAGTGCCACGCTGCTAGGCTTTGCGCCAGTGTCGTGGATAGCGGCCGAGCTGAGAGACCACCCCCTGCCCACCCCCGTTGGTGTCGAGAAAGTGCCACGCCTGCTAGGCTTTGCGCCAGTGTCGTGGATGGCGGCCGAGCTGAGAGACCACCCCCTGCGCACCCCCTGTGGTGTCGCGAAAGTGCCACGCCTGCTAGGTTTTGCGACAGTGTCGTGGATAGCGGCCGAGCTGAGAGACCACCCCCTGCGCACCCCCTGTGGTGTCGAGAAAGTGCCACGCCTGCTAGGCTTTGCGCCAGTGTCGTGGATAGCGGCCGAGCTGAGAGACCACCCCCTGCGCCACCTCGTGTGGTGTCGAGAAAGTGCCACGCCTGCTAGGCTTTGCGCCAGTGTCGTGGATAGCGGCCGAGCTGAGAGACCACCCCCTGCGCACCCCCTGTGGTGTCGAGAAAGTGCCACGCCTGCTAGGCTTTGCGCCAGTGTCGTGGATAGCGGCCGAGCTGAGAGACCACCCCCTGCGCACCCCTTGTGGTGTCGAGAAAGTGCCACGCATGCTAGGCTTTGCGCCAGTGTCGTGGATAGCGGCGAGCTGAGAGACCAACCCCTGCGCACCCCCTGTGGTGTCGAGAAAGTGCCACGCCTGCTAGGCTTTGCGCCAGTGTCGTGGATAGCGGCCGAGCTGAGAGACCACCCCCTGCGCACCCCCTGTGGTGTCGAGAAAGTGCCACGCCTGCTAGGCTTTGCGCCAGTGTCGTGGATAGCGGCCGAGCTGAGAGACCACCCCCTGCGCACCCCCTGTGGTGTCGAGAAAGTGCCACGCCTGCTAGCCTTTGCGCCAGTGTCGTGGATAGCGGCCGAGCTGAGAGACCACCCCCTGCCCACCCCCTGTGGTGTCGAGAAAGTGCCACGCCTGCTAGGCTTTGCGCCAGTGTCGTGGATAGCGGCCGAGCTGAGAGACCACCCCCTGCGCACCCCCTGTGGTGTCGAGAAAGTGCCACGCCTGCTAGCTTTGCGCCAGTGTCGTGGATAGGGACCGCGGTGAGAGACCACCCCCTGCGCACCCCCTGTGGTGTCGAGAAAGTGCCACGCCTGCTAGGCTTTGCGCCAGTGTCGTGGATAGCGGCCGAGCTGAGAGACCACCCCCTGCCCACCCCCTGTGGTGTCGAGAGAGTGCCACGCCTGCTAGGCTTTGCGCCAGTGTCGTGGCGGCCGAGCTGAGAGACGCACCCCCTGTGGTGTCGGAAGTGCCACGAGAGAGACCCACCTGCGCACAGGCGTCGTGGAGTGCGCACCCCCTGTTGTGCCACGCGGCTAGAAAGTGCCAGTGTCGTGGATTTGCGCCAGTGTCGTGGATAGCGGCCGAGCTGAGAGACCACCCCCTGCGCACCCCCTGTGGTGTCGAGAAAGTGCCACGCCTGCTAGGCTTTGCGCCAGTGTCGTGGATAGCGGCCGAGCTGAGAGACCACCCCCTGCGCACCCCCTGTGGTGTCGAGAAAGTGCCACGAGCTGTGCTGCGCTGTTTTGTGCTGAGCTGAGCTGTGCTGTGCTGTGTGCTGTGCTGTGCTGTGCTGTGCTGTGCTGCGGTGAGCTGTGCTGCGCTGTGCTGTGCTGAGCTGAGCTGAGCTGTGTGCTGTGTTGAGCTGTGCTGTGCTGTGCTGTGCTGTGCTGTGCTGTGCTGTGCTGTGCTGTGCTGTGCTGTACGAAGAGTGAGGTGTGTGTGTGTGTGTGTGTGTGTGTGTGTGTGTGTGTGTGTGAGAGTGTCGCGGGTGCGGCGCGGCAGGGAAGAAAGCCAGAACCCCACGAAGCATGTGGGGAAGTATACACGCTGCCGCCCTCCCATGGGACTGCTCTTGGGCCTCGAGGGTGGCGGTGCATAAGTCGGCGCCTTGGAGCCAGCGGCGTTTCTACACCGCCGCCCTCCCTGAAGGTACATGCAGAGTTCGTCGGAGGGTGCCTGTGTATATACGGTGGAGGCGTTCGTTAAGGAACAGCCCTGGGAGGCGCCGCGCCCTGGAGGATTCCTTGTCCAACGAGTGCGGCGGTGATGTCCATGGCCGATCCACGATTGGAGCTCTACTGGCTTCCAGACCCTGGCTTCCTGGTCGAAGGGTTCCTTAGGTCTTAGGTCCAATGTCCACGCCGTCCTTGGCGTGGCGCACCATCGCCCCGCGGTCGCCGACGGGGGGCCCCCGTGGCCCACCGCGCCCAGGACCGCGCGGCGTCGCTCTCGGAGGCCCCTCGCCGATCCGTCGGCGATGCGCATCGCCGGCTCCAAGTCGACGCTCCCCCCCCCCTCCCCCCCCGGGATCTGCACGAACGAAGTGGGTACGGAAAGAATGGGTACAGTGCCCAACAGCAGTTCCTGCCCATTTTGAACAGGACTCGCTGTCCGCGCCGCCGCGGCCTGTGTCCATCTGAGACCGAAGGCCGCCTGCCCAACAGCGGCCGCTGTTGGTTTGGGACAGCATCTGCTGTTGGGCATCGTGCCCATTTTTTCCGTACCCATTTCGGGCGTCCAAGCCGGAGCGGGTCCCCTGGTGGTTTTCGGGCCAGGCGCGCCGGTCCTCGCGGCAGGGGCCGTGTCTGGATGCCCAGGTCCCAATCTACTTCGGGCGCCTTTTCGGTCAGCGAGGGTCGATCTGCTTCTGCTATGTCTGGTCCTGCTCTTGGAGGGCCTGAGCCCAATCTGCTTTGTCCGCCTTCCTGCTTCCTGCTTTTACTTGCTTCCTCCGACCGACGTGTAACACAGACCTTTGGCGGCCCTTCGGGACGATCAGGGAGCTTCCCTCCCCCCATAACGCTTCAGGCGAGGCGCAGCCTCTGGAGGGCGCAGCCCGAGGCTGGCAGGCCGCTGAGGAACTGGCAAGACCGCCCGAGGACCTCACACCTCGAGCCTCGAACACCGCGAACTTCCCCCTCCCCCCCCTCCTCCCCCTCCTCCTCCCCCTCCTCCTCCTCCCTCCTCCTCCTCCTCCTCCTCCTCCTCCTCCTCCTCCTCCTCCTCCTGCTCGAATGGGACGCAAAGGGAATCCTCAATCCCGTCTGCGGGCGTCGGTGCCGAGTCCGAACAGAAGCCTCAGGCTTCGCCTCCTCTGCTTGCCAGTGGTCGGCCAGGGGAGGGTTCGGATGCGGTATGTAACCTGCAGGCTAACAGGGAGGTGTTCGTCCGCCACGTTGCTGGACCAGGCAGGCTGCGGCACAGAGCGCCGAAGCGGACTGCCGACCTATGCATGGTCACATTCAACAGCTCAGGATGGCCTCAGCTTCAGGACTTCCTGCAGACCACTCGCGGCTACTCCATCGTCGCCGTCCAGGAGCTACATTTACATGGGCCTCGCCGACTGATTGCTGAAGAATGGTGTGCGAGGAACGGCTGGCAACCGTTCATTTCAGATGCGATCCCGACAGACACGGGCCATTTCACTGCAGGCGTCGGTCTCTTCGTCCGCAAGAACATACATGTGATCCCACTGGAATGGATGGTCCGAGGACACACGATTATTCCAGGATATGCAGTTGGTGTGATTGTGCAAGCGGGCATGCGGGGTGGTTTCCTCGCTGCCTCTCTATACTTGGAACAAGGTCAGCGACTCGGGGGACGTAACACGGCACGGCTCGCACAACTTGGTGCGCTTCTCAGTTACTATGCGATGCCGTTCGTGGTGGCAGGAGATTGGCATGTCCCGCCCGATGTCATGGTCAACTCTGACTATCCACTGCGTCTGCGGGCAGTTATTCATGCAGGTAAGCAAGGAACCTACAAAGACCCTGCCACAGGGAATCTGTCTACCTTGGACT